GGAATGAGGGTTTTTCAAAAATCAAAAAGGGGGGCCTGATGCCAAAAAGTTTGGGAACCACTGCTTTAAACCATCACCTCAGGCCTATCGTACCAAACTCAGCCCTGGGATTAGGTTACATCACCCACTGGTTTGGGGTGTTCATGGGCTGTTCGGAACACTGCCAGGGCCTGTACCAGCTTTGTTGTCAGATCAAGGCCAGCAGGGTCTGGCATTACATGTCAGGGCTTGACTTTCATCCCAGTCATGTTTGAGCTGTGAGAGATCTGAGAATTTAAAGAGGGAAATAAACAAATGAGAAGCAATAAATAAAATAAATAAAAAAGAGGGGGAGTTCAAGGGAGGGGTATGGGAAGAAATATGGGCCCTACTGGAGATGAAAACTTTGTTCAGCATCCAAAATTCAAAGCAGATCGTCTGTGGGTTGGCTTGAGCTTTTCTACAAACAAGCTGGCCCAGCTTATAACCTATATCAATCTATCATATGCACCAGCAGTGCCAGAATTCATACAGATCTCTGCCCTGCTGTTTGCTAAGCATTTAAGAGACAAATAACGGTGTGCAAACTGCCGGTCAGTCACTTGACAAGGAGCGCCTTTTAGTTATTCAGATCAAAATACTTTGGACCTCCTCTCCCCCCGACTGCCTCTTTTCCCCAGGAGTAAATGATGCATCTTGGCAGCTTCTGATAAAACCCAATGCTTAATCATTAGAATGCAATCCGAGCTCAACCATGGAATGTCCATGACGTGCAGAGAAAGCCCAGCTTCGTGGCTAATTCCACCATGTGCCCTGAGAAAGGGAACAAGGCACAGGGGGAGAAATGTGGGTTGTAAAAAGCGCAGGATCCTGGGTTTTCTACCACACATGCACACCAGCGAAAGCTGCTTTCAAATGCCGTCTCATGTTCATGAAGCAGAGTAATTTTAATTAGCACCACACACTGTTTATTCATTATGGTATTAAGAGAACACTTTTTCTGTGTCACACAGAGGTCACCTCTGTTAGAACTGATGCCACCATGGGATGTCACCAGGGTCTAAACACTAGACCGGCGCTCCTGAAAGCTTGAACCGCTGCCACTCGAGCTAAAAGATGAACTCCTCTGGCAAGCAATTGTATTGAATTCATACTGTCTGAGAACCAGCCACTAGAGGTGACGCACAGCACGTGCTGAACTACATATTACAGTGCCACCAAAAGAACAGGATGCTGCACAAGACCAGCTAGAAAAACTCACAGTTAGCCCCAGAGATAGAAGAGCTTTTCCTATGGCACACTTCTCAGCCATATCCAGGGTATGTCCAGCTTTCTGTTGATGAACCATCAGAGGTTTTCGGGTGAAATACAGCCAGTGCCCAGGTGATGTCTCTGAGGATGAAACCAGAGTTGCATTGACACTTTCTACTACCAACTCAAACTGCAAACAAGCCTAAATACTTGTCTTTTGTCATTGCCAACTCTCTCAGACTTACTTCCTCCTATGGACAGTGTTTCAGACTGTTCCTCCAGATGTATTCACTTGAGGTTTCCCCGAGCTGAATTCAGTTGTGTTATGTCTATATCTCTCTCATGTATCATCACTTATTGTTACCAGTGCAACCTTTGATGCAGAAGGACAATGGAATCTTTGTTTAAACAAAATGGGTGCGTCCAGACTGGCAAGATTTTGCGCAAAAGCAGCAAGAATACTTGCACAAGAGGGCCAGTGTAGACAGGCACCTTAATTTTTTGTGCAAGAAACCCTTTGGCTTAAATGGCCATCGGAGCTTTCTTGCGCAAAAGCACGTCTATACTGGGCACGGATGCTTTTGCGCAAAAGTATTGCTTTTCCATTAAAAGTATTTCTGCAAAATCATGCCAGTCTAGACGCAGCCAAAGGGTTTGCCTCTCCTGCTCCCCTTTGGAGCCTAACAGGACAAAACTTGCTGAGTCATGCCATCTCCTCTGTCTCTTAGAGTAGCCAATGAAGCAGTGCTTTTAGCCTTCCTTCCATGGCACACATCAGTCCTGCCCCTTCCCAGTGTGTATTTTGTCCTCAGGCTCTCAGTATCCCTCTCCATTACAGTATAGGACCTGTTTGTCCCATAGCAGGATGCCTGTGAAATAGATTGTTCTTGCTTGCATCTGACAAATGCAGCCTCAGAGCCAGATTTTCAAGTGGTATAAATGGACATTGCTCTGTTGACTCCATTAGAACCATGCCACTGTACACCAACTGAGGATTTGGTCCTCAGTGCTGTGACTAATATGCTAATTGGGTGGGAGGGAAAGTGAAGTGGTTTGACCATTGGCTTGCCACATCCACAGTTGTGAGTTCTATCCTTAAAGGGGCCATTTAGAGATCTGGGGCAAATCTGTCAGGGATGGTACTTGGTCCTGCTGTGAGAGCAGGGGGCTGGACATCATGACCTCCCAAGGTCCCTTCCGGTTCTATGAGATGCGTATATCTCCCTATATATATGCTATAACTTTAGGTGCAAATCAGTTATCCACAAATGCAAATGGCTGCTTGGGCACATTACTGGTTACTTGCAAATGTGTTATTAAACACTAGATATTAGCAGATTCCAGAAAGATATTCACAAACAAGCAGGATGCATAACCAGCCATCTATATATGTGCAAATACTTAATTTGTGCACTCATTCCTAGGTTTTCAAAAACTAGGCATGCAATCATATCTGCATGTTCACATGTGCAATTGGATACCTCACTTTTTGAAAATTGGACCCAGAATTTTTTAGGCCAAAATTCTGAAAGAGAAAGTTGCAAACAGACATGTTAAAAATATTGCAATTTCAAATGCTCACATAGCTCCTGTAAGGAATTCTGAATTACATAGTCAATAGTTTGAGATTCAAATTCCGAATTAGGAATATCCAATTTTACATCAAATATGCAAGTTGAAATATGAGCTCTGGAGCCTGGACTCTGAAACCCTTCTCCCTTTCCTGGCTTTCAGAGCCCTGGCTCTACCCCAAAAGGGAATGTGGACCTCACAATTTTTAGCTCTGTAGCACAAGCCCTGAGGGCACATCTACACAGCAGGGCTAAAGCCAAAATAAGCTACAAAACTAGAGCTACATCAATTGCATAGCTTAAATTGAAACAGCTTATTTCAGCTTTTGGTGCTGTCTACACAGGAGGAAGTCCGAGAAAGAGCAATCTTCCTCCAACTTCCCATACTCCTCATACAATGAGGGTTACAGGACTCAGAGAAAGAAGTCCTCGAGCTCGACATTATTTTGAAATAATGGCTTGCTGTGTTGACGTCGACTATGTTATTTTGGAAAACGTCAGTTATTCCTTAACTAGCCAATTAGCCAGTCATAAAATGGGATTTTCAGGTCTTCTCTCCTGAGCTCCCTCGCTCCATCTCTCTCTCTCTCTCCTCCTACTGCCTCCTCTCTTTCAGCTCTCCTCCGCCTCCTGCCTCTCTCTCCGTCTCTTTCTTTCTCTTCTCCCCCTCCTACCTCTGGGTATGTCTACACTACCCCCCTAGTTCGAACTAGGGGGGTAGTGTAGACATACCCAGAGGTAGGAGGGGGAGAAGAGAAAGAAAGAGACGGAGAGAGACCGCCCCGCCATTTTTAAAAGCCGGCTAGTGCGAACCCCGTGCCGCGGCTACACGCGGCACGGACTAGATAGTTCGGATTAGGCTTGTTCTGTACGCCTCGTTCCACGAGGTATTTTGTGAATTTCTGGCTGGGCACCGGAGGGAAGCCTAGTGGGGACGGGAGAGCAACTGGGAGGCGGAGTGCGATTGGCTTTGGGAGCCCTGTGGTCGCACGCAAAAGCCGGGTGGGGTGGGGCGGGGCGGGGTGGGGGCCAG